ACTAGCAGTAGCACATGTGTCGAGAGCCCCGAGCGGCGCCAGGTGTGCACTTTTTATATCTGCTCGTGCGGTATCTGCGAGCCCAGGTGCGTCGCCGTCTAACCTCTCGCGGTCATATCCCAAGGGCATAAGGTTCATAACGGCGTTCGCTCGCCTAGCAGATGTTCACCCGACGATCCTTTATAGGTCTTCCTTCGAGATTCCTACGAGCAGTTAAAAATATCCTTTTATTCATATTGCCTTTTGTGAGTTTTATAAATTTCATTAATAACAATAAAAATTATACTTGAACCAGTCAAAAGAAATTTGTTATCGTCAAATATATATTATATTTTGGCAGCTTAAAAAATGCCATATACCTATCCGAGATGGGACTCGAACCCTGTTAAAGATAGCTTTCTTACTTCCAATAAGAAACCGCGGGCGGGACCACCTGGCAGTTGCCCATTTCACCTATCATATGTACCACTCTGCAGACATAATACTTGTTTTACGCCGCGACTATAGAATCTCTTAAAACTTGCAATTACATAGCAACATAGCTAATGATAATACTATAGTCTTTTGTGTCAATATGAATGGTCTAAATAATAATGAATGAAGCCTGCTTTTGATTATATCAAACAAAACCAAGAGCAGGTAATATTCAGTGGGTATTGACTGTCTTTGCGCGCGCGCACGTGTAAGTAGTAAGAGCGACCGCGCCTACCTACTTCGAGTTACAAAAGCAGCTGATCTCGCGGGATTCGTAACGGATGTGTACACAAAACGCACCAAGATGTGCACGGCGACAGCTGCTCCCCAAAAAAATTAGAGGCTACTCTTCGTAAGATCATTATGTAACACCCCCTTGCCCCGCGCGGTCAGTTCGCCCCGGGCACCACGCGACTTAACAATAGCCCATTTTGAGTGAATGTCTCCGTTTACCTGAATAAACAATCGCATAAACTAATTCGACCCTCATTAGGGCTTTTACGTTTGCAATCTTATCTCAGTGTAGCCTTTTAGTGTTGTTTGACTCTTTTTAAATAAGTTTTAAATATTTTGTTGAGCGTAAAGTTTCGAGAACAAAAGAATCGAAAGACGTCCTTCAAAACATAATAACATCTGGAGGTCGAGCAGGGATGCTATTGACACGTCGCGGGCGGAACGTGGTATCTTTAATTTTGATCATTTCACCAGTCGGACCTAATTTTTTTTACCGACTTCAAAATCGAAAAGGAAGTATGTTCGACGGCGATGTATGTGACATTTCCGCCAATTGTCGACTGATTTTTATTTGATATTTTATCGAAATCGAAATACACTTTTCATCAGATATCCATAAGTCTAAAAATCGTAACGCCTCAAATAGGGACTTAGTTTTATTAGCATACTTACTTAAACATAAATATCTTGAACAATGTTTAACTTAAACGAAGTGAATCACTTTTAATTCATGAAAAATGGGGTCTAACGAGGTTTTTGTGTACTTTTATTTATAAGCAAAAAATCATTATCCTCAATAGCTGTCATTATTAGAAACGGAACAAATCATTATATTCCCTATTTATTATTATCACCCAAATATTTAGATGATAGATTCGTTTTAGCTAAAAAACAAAAGATTTAGTATTTTGGATTAATTGGTGAATAAAACGTCATCGGTTCAAGGAGTATGTGTATATTTATGAAAGTAGGCATGTTCATCGATATCCTTTTGAATTGTGAACCAATTTCTATTAAACTAGCTGTTTACCCGCGAGCCTGCGTCAATAATAGCCTACGTTCTTCGCGTATTATGCGTATTATGGAGCTTCTCGTAGGTGAAAGACTTTTATAACTCAGACCAATAGTTTCGGAGCCTATCCAATGCAAACAAATAAGTAATCAACTCTTTGCACTTTATAATATGAATAAAGAATTATCTTTAGTGTTACCTGTTATATAATAAACATCACTATCACTAAAAAGCTTGAAAAAAAAAGAGCCGATTTCAAACTTGATCAAATACTTTGATAACGACGGGCGCCTATCATTTATTAGTAATCTAAAGAAAATCTCCGCTCGACTTCAATAGCATTTTCTTAAATAAGTCGCTTTTCATATAAGTATTACTTATCACTCTTTTAAATTTTGAAGTCAGTTCTATTTTTTAAAAGCTTTTTATACTAACGATATCGTTAGAGATATAAAAGTATATTCAGAACGATATAAAAGTTTTTTTAGACTATATGTCTATTTCGTAACGTCCTCATCTAGCGAGCGACACCAGCGGTAAGAGAGCCGGCTGGGAGCGATCGGGGAACGTTCAGGGCGTCAGTATGTTTAGTGAGAACAGTTACAGAGTTTGGTAGAGTGGCGCCGGTCGCGTGTCAGCCGCGAGCGCGATGTGTGTATGTATGTATATGTGCGGGAGATAAGAATGCATCGGCAGCTGCGGCGCGGAATGCACACCTGTCGCCGCCACCATCCGTGCACCACAGCCTCGAGCACATCCACCCCCTAGCTTATAACATCGCAGGCATAAGGCTTCACATTTATACGAACAATTAATATTAACTCTTCCTACGTCTCGATCTGTCACTTATCTCGCATTGGAGAATATTCATACATACATACATACTCGCATACATTATACGGAGACAATTGCAAATAAAACGTAATAAAAAGTAATCTACTTTTTTAATGTAAATTGAGTTTTTTTCCAGTTATTTTGTTTTTGATAAATTTTCAAAATATCTCTCTAGTAACGAAAAAAAAAGCACTTCTAAGATACCACATATTTAATACTCGGATTTATTGTAGGTTTTATCAATACTGTAATTTCACGCTATTTATTAAAGCCCGCAGTCGCGCGTCGTTAAAAAAAAAAAAAACGTATTGCCGCATTGATGCTTTCGAACAGTACAGGGCATAATTATGTCAAAATAAATGAGATAGTGAGGGGATGGCCGGTGGTGTGCGGTGATTGCACGGAGTGGACGGGGCAGGGCGGGGCGGGGCGGGGCGGGGCAGGGCAGGACAGGTGGCAGGTGCATCTGTCCCGCGCGCGGTACCTATATAGCAGCCGCTCCACGCCCGCGACCCACACTCCGCCGCCGGCACTCGGTCGAGGTACATGCTACGTACTCGCGAGCTGTGACCCGTGACTGTGTACTGTTTCCGACACTACTGGTGACACTGTGTTTCTGTGATAAATATGATCATCTGCCTCTCTGGATTTGTGATCGCCGGGTTGGTTTAACATGTTTTTTTTTTTTGTGAATTTGAGGTCGAGGTGTTCGTTATTGTTTTATGAAAAATAATGGTAGAAATCTTATCGAGTTCCACCCGCGTGGTCCAGTATTATTATTGCTATACATTAACGTTTCTCTTGAATCACTATGTATTGATGAAAATATGCATTGAAATCAAATGTATAGTTTATATTATAAATTCTCGTCGAAACTGATATATATGTACTGATATTTTTTTTCTTTTAATTTTACTTATAATATATTAAACGATATATAAGATAATGAGAAAATAATATACCTTCATTGGTATCGTCCATAAAATATGCGACGTGGAAAATAAAATGTAAACTAAATTTTCTGATAAATAAACAAATTCTCTTTGTAAATAATAATCCTGAGGACACCTTTTTATTACATAATAAATGTGTTATGATATGTTATCGATAAGCGAGTGTTGTATATGCCCGACGCCCGACGTCCCGTCAGCAGGGACTCCCGTCGCCTGCTCTAGTCAGCTGTGTGCCGCCACACTGTCTACACGAATGTTTATACTATTTCAAAAGCAAGAACTTTTTCACGTCTCATGCTTTTATCTTAAAATATGTATATAAATGCAAATTTTTAATATTCGAAAATATTCAATACAGTATTCCGTTCAATTATTTTAGGTGTGTAGGAATATTTACAATTTGTTGATTTACGCATGTTTAATTTTTTTTTTTCAATATGGACTTGTTCCGTTATACACGGAAATATTACTTAATTGTAAAACATAACAGATGTGTGTACCCAATAGCTTTCCTTCTGTTGACTTTATTCATAGAACGAGAATGTTAACGATATTTCTATTTAATTTATATTTTGACATTGTTACAGAACGTCTCCTACTTCTATTCCTGTCTCCGTCCGAAATGATATTGTAAGTATCCTGTTAATTCAAATTTTATGAATGGTTTAGTTTATTTATATATATAATCTGCTGTCCTGACAGTCCGCGTTTGTGCGCGTGTTGTTGCCTCACCTTCACACTAATGATGTACCGAGTGCATGATGATATCCTTAGCAGGTACTTCAACATACTAAAATTTTAAGCTTTAGAAATCCTTCAAGTAACAGAAAAGTCATCCTTTGCTTTCCGAATAACAGAACACAACTAATCTGTAACTGGAGATTTATTTGTCAGTTTATGTTCATACTTGAAAATATGACTAGTCGGAATCGTGGGTTACTTTATTTCTTGCATTATTTAACACTGACTTGAAAAATTATTAATTGGCTCTGAACCATAGCGAGACTCCCAAACACGCGGGGCCCGTGGCATTTGCTACTTTTGCTACGTGGCTAATCGGATTCTGCCCTTATATTAAAATAAATGGAACAACGACACTATCTACTATTTATTAAAATTTTCTTCAAAATAAACATTAGTTAAGTGCGAGTCGGATTCGCGCACGTAGTTTCCGTACCGGAAACGAGCAACAACAATTACGTTTGTTGTATGGGAGCCCCCTCACATATTTATTTTACTTTGGTTTTAAGTATTTATTCTTAAAACCGCTACAGAAACAAATCATCTGTGAAAATTTCAACCGTCTTAACTTTCACGGTTCATGTGTTACAGCCTGGTGACAGACAGACAGACAGCAAAGTCTTTGTAATAAGCTTCCCGTTTTAGCTTTAGATCTCAAAATAATTCTTAAAAGTAGTATGACCATCAAATCTTCAGCAGAATACAAATGGAGTTATTTGAATAATTGAAAGTTATTAGTGTTAGATATTTAGTGAAAAAATGTATAAATTGTTTTGTCATATATTTTGTTTGTTTCAGGGAATGAGCGTGGGCTTGAGTGTGGGCGCGGGGGCGAGCGCGTGCGCGGGGGGTGCGAGCGAGAGGGCACGATACTCTCCACATCATCATCAACTGCTGGCACACTTCGCCTCGCCACTGCTCACAGGTGAGGGAGCCGCTTCAACGCTTATCTAAATATTATTTAATTTAAAGAAATGCTGCAGCAGCAGCCGAGTGACAACAGTAGATTGTCAAACGGATATTTCTGTTCGCATTGTGCTTCTAGTTCAGGGTACAATATACACTTCATACTTAATAATTAAGAAAAGATTACGACACTAATTCACATATTTTATTAGTTTTTGATGAATTAGTATCAATGTTATAATAAAATAAAAATCCTTTCTCGGGTTGCAGTGATACTTTTAACTTCGTGATATAGATAATAAAATATACTATTAGTTCTCCGGGGCGGGCGGGTGCCGCCGCCTCCGTCACTGTATAACATTTAGTATAGGACGCTTCTCCAGTCGCAAGTTCAATTATTTATTTAATATGCACATGTTTTGTAAATTATTCAAAAAGCATACAAAACATATATATCTATTTCAATTCAGGTCTTACACTAGCATCGAACGCTATTTATAAACGTTTGAATTTAATATGAAACGAGTGATCGTTCGTTGAACGTGGTCTCGGAGGGCGATGTCTGATCCTCGGTGCTGTGTACTGCGACAGGTCGCTCGAGCAGCAGCTCCGCAGAGTCGGTGTCGAGCGCGAGCGCGTCGCCGCCGCCGGCGGGCGCGGGCGCGTGCGCGGGGGCGGCCGTGGGGGCGGGGGCGGGGGCCGGCGCGGGGGCGGGGGCGCTGCGCGTGCGCACGCTGTACGCGTGCCTGGGCGAGAGCGAGGGCGAGCTGTCGTTCGAGCCGAACCAGATCATAACGAACGTGTCCGCGTCGCCGGAGCCCGGCTGGCTGCGCGGGACCCTCAACGGCAAGACCGGCCTCGTGCCCGAGAACTACGTGGAGCCCCTGCCCTAGTGTTGATCCCACACCTTGTTGATCGTTCTGTACCTATATTTGTATATTTTGTACATTGTAAATAAGAGTCTGTTGATATTTCTATTTATATTATTATACTTATGTTGTGAATTTTGTACCAAATATACTATAACATATTATACGATATCCGTCGTAAATTAGCGATTAAAAGATTATATTAGATTTTGTTCTTTTATTTATCGTAACTCCTTTCCGTTGAAAAGCCAGAAGAGGCCGACGCTCGACACGCGACACGACCGAAGGAAGCGGAAACGAATGAACAAAGGCAGTTAGATTTGACCAATATATATATTTCTTACTATACGACGGGGATTACATTACAAAAATTATATTTTAATGACAACAGCAACGCACTCGAGCTTCAGAACCATACGCAAACGTAACACATGTTATAAAGGGCGACGACGTCTTAAACTTATTACTATTGTGTAAGAAGTCTCACCGGGTCTTTCTACGGTGTTCTATTAACTCTGAATGATCAACCGCCGACCTGCTGACACTTCTTACATGATAGGATTTTTTATAAACTAAACTAGTTTTGGGTACATGAGAAGGCTTCTTCACTTAAAATAATGCTTTTAGTGGAATTATATTCAAACAGGAAAAAAATCATCTTTCTGGAATAATATATAACTAGATTAAAGGAAGATCGTAATAATATAAACAAATTAAAGGATAATCTACAGTTCTCGATCTTTTCTTATTGCAATAACAAGAGAGTTCAAAAATATATATCAATAATTAATGAATGAATATGAAACAAAACATAAAAATTATAATATCCAATTTAACAAGTAAGCGTCTACGAGCTACATATTTATGGCTATCTAAATTGAAATTAACAAATTTATGTTTTGAAGTCTCAGAACATGAAACTGCAAATCGGCGCGATAAAGATTAGTATTGTGTGCGTCAGGCCGGCAGCGCCACTCACTTTGATTTTGAAACGAATTCTTGATTCATCTAGTCGAATAATCTCTGAGAAATTCGGTGTCAATATTTCGTCACAGATCTGTTACAACATGATAAAACATAGAATTAATATAATTATGGATAAAAGTTAAACGTATAACGCCTGCTGAATTCTATCACCAGATAGCAAACTTTTCCGATGGTAAAATCACAGCAAATATACACGACAATTCTGTTAATCTTATAATAAAATTATCTATTAAGTTACTACTAGCGCCATCTATGTCAGACTGTATGGAACTATTCTAAAAATAAACTCTCTCTTTAATCGTCACTCTGTGCCTCATTTACAGGTTATGGGCTTTTCACGTTTTTATTTGTTTTTACGTTATAATAAATAAAGTATAAGTTGTAAAATGACGTCTAACTATATCGCTAACATTCCTAAATTGAAAGGACGCGAAAATTATGAAGATTGGTGCTTTGCGGTGCAAAATGTACTAGTGTTAGAAGGCATGGCGTCCGCCATTACGCAAAATTTACCGGCTTCGCCCACAACAGTACAAATTAATGAAGATGCCAAAGCTAAAGCGAAACTAGTATTGACAATTGATCCATCACTTTACGTACATATAAAGCATGCAGCAACCACATATGATTTATGGAGTAAGTTGAAGAATATGTTTGATGACGCCGGCTACACGAGGAAAATAAGCTTGTTACGCAAACTCATCAACATTCGACTGGATAATTGTGACTCCATGACTCAATACGTAACCCAGATAATAGAAACGGGACAGCGACTTCAAGGTACAGGTTTCAAAATTACCGATGAATGGATCGGTGCATTAATGTTAGCAGGATTACCCGAAAAATATGGGCCTATGTTAATGGCCATAGAGCATTCAGGCATTGAAATAAGTGCAGACGTTATTAAAACAAAATTGATGGATATGTGTTGTGAAATTGAGAAGGTTTCAGAAAACGCTTTTGTCGCGAAAGGTGGGCATCGGTTAAAATATAGAAACACAAAAAATGTAAACACCAGATCAGTTGATACGACAAAAGCAACTACAAAAGTCATAAAATGCTACAAATGCAAACAAACAGGTCATTATAAAAACCAGTGCCCCAACTATGAAAGCAGTACAAGAAGACAAACAAATGCTTTTAGTGCAATTTTTCTGAATGGAAAATTTAATTGTAAAAACTGGTACATTGACAGTGGAGCTAGTAAGCATATGACATCAAAAATAGAATACATAGAAAATCCATCATATGAGAATAAAACTAAAGAGATATTAGTGGCGAACCAAACATGTGTCCCTGTGCTGTGTTCTGGTGATGTTAACATTGTTACAGTTGTGAATAATGTGGAATATGATATCACAGTCACAGATGTATTGTGTATACCAAATTTAACAACCAACTTGCTTTCCGTGAGTCAGTTGATTAAGAATGGCAACAGTGTGATTTTCAAAGAAAATGCTTGCTATATCTATAATCAACAGAATGATCTTGTTGGAATGGCAGAATTAGTGGAAGGTGTGTACAAGCTAAACACAAAGAAAACAGAACAGTTATTGGCAGCAACCGCCATAGCAACAAATGAAACTTGGCATCGACGTTTGGGACACATTAACAATACTGATTTAATTAAAATGAAAAATGGTGCTGTAGAGGGCATTACATTCGCAGATGTAGCAAATATAAACAAATCTAAGTGTACCATTTGCTGTGAAGGAAAGCAGACTAGACTACCTTTTCAGCTGAGTTCTACTAAAACCACAGATTTTTTAGAATTAATACACTCAGATGTGTGTGGCCCCATGGAGAATATTTCCATTGGAGGATCTAGATATTATATCTTGTTCGTGGATGACTACAGCAAAATGGTGTTTGTTTATTTCATGAAAACAAAGAGTGAGGTATTTAAATACTTTAAAGAATTCCTGTCCATGGTAGAAAACCAGAAAGATAAAAAAATTAAAATTCTAAGAACAGACAATGGTGGTGAATTTTGCAATCAAGAATTCGAAACATTTTTAAAGCAACGAGGAATAATCCATCAAAAAACTAATGCTTACACGCCTCAACAGAACGGATTGAGTGAACGTATGAATAGGTCATTAGTTGAAAAAGCGAGATGCCTGATTTTTGATGGTGGTTTACACAAAAAGTTTTGGGCAGAAGCCATAAATACTGCTGCTTATTTAAAAAATAGAACGGTTGTTACTGGACTAAATAACAGGACCCCATATGAAGTTTGGACAGGTAAAAAGCCTGACTTAAGTAATATACGTATATTTGGAAGCAAATCAATGATGCATATTCCAAAAGAGAAACGCTTGAAGTGGGATAAAAAAGCAAAAGAGTTAATTTTTGTTGGTTATGCAGACAATGTGAAAGGATACAGAGTTTACGACCCAGTAAGAAACTCTGTTATAATAAGCAGAGATATCATCGTAATGGAAACACAAACAAGAAACATGGTAGATATTCCTATTGAGTGCAAAGCTCCAGCGGAGGAATTAAAGTTGGAAGATAGTATAGAGATCACAGACACGAAAGGTGAAAATGATGATAAAAACAGTACGTATATTCCAGAAGACACTTTGGTGAGTGAATCAAATGATACTTTTTTTTGACACTGCATCCGAACCAGAAGTTTCACAAGTAAATCTAAACAACACAGAAACGTTGAATAAGCGTACAAGAAAAAAACCCGATCGCTTTGGATATAATAATATGTGTATTGCAGAGTTCGAACATCACAATGAGAAAGATATTACCCTCGAAGAAGCTTTAAATGGACCCGAAAAACAGTTTTGGAGAACAAGTATGGAAGAGGAGTTAAAATCGTTCCAAGAAAATGATGCATGGGAAGAAGTTGATCCACCTCATGACTCCACTATAGTGCAGTGTAAGTGGGTTTTTAAAAAAAAATATGACAGTCAAAATAATGTGCGATACAGAGCTAGACTAGTAGCAAAAGGTTTTTCGCAGAAAGCTGGTGTTGACTTTCATGAGACTTTTTCTCCTGTACTTAGATATTCCACACTGAGGTTGTTATTTTCTGTAGCAGCAAAACTTAGTTTAGACATTCGCCATCTTGATGTTACCACAGCTTTTTTAAATGGTTTTTTGAATGAAACTGTGTATATGAGAAAACCTATAACTTATAAAACTAATGAGAATGATATAAAGGTATTAAAATTAAAACGTGCCATATATGGACTTAAGCAATCATCCCGTGCTTGGTATCAGAGAGTAAATGATTACTTGTTAAAGTTAGGTTATCAGAAATCTAAATATGAGCCTTGCTTGTTTACAAAATTTAAAAATAATGTTAAAATTATTATAGCTCTTTTTGTTGATGATTTTTTTGTATTTTCAAATTGTGAAATCGTAACTAACAAATTATTTGAAGAGTTAAGTTGTAAATTCAAATTAAAAGATTTGGGTCAGATAAAGCAGTGTTTAGGTTTGCGAGTAAATGTACAGAAAAATGTGATAACAGTTGATCAAGAACAATATGTAGAGAGCTTATTAAAAAGATTTAATATGTTCAATTGTAAAACTGTAGACACCCCTATGGAAATGAATTTAAAGTTAGAAAGGTCTCAAAATAATTGTGATAATAATTATCCATATAGACAACTAATAGGTAGTTTGATGTACCTAGCGGTACTAACTAGACCAGATATTGCATATAGTGTTAATTACCTAAGCCAATTTAATACTTCATATGATCTGACTCATTGGAAACATTTGAAAAGGATATTAAAATATTTAAAAGGCACAAAGAATTATGGTCTTGTATATTGTAAAGATAAATCTGATATTCAAGGTTATGTAGATGCAGACTGGGGTTCTGATATAAATGACAGGAGATCTTTTTCTGGTTATTGTTTTAAATTATCAAATGCAGTTGTATCTTTTGAATGTAGAAAACAACGAAATGTAGCATTGTCTTCAACAGAAGCCGAATATATTTCATTGTCAGAAGCTAGTAAAGAAGCAATTTATTTGAAAAGGCTATTGTGTGAAATTTTAAGCAATTCAAAACCAATTATTTTGTATAACGATTGTCAAAGTGCACAAAAACTAATTTTAAATCCAGTTTTACATCGAAGATCTAAACATATCGATATAAGGTATCATTTTGTCAGAGAAGCTGTAGCAAACGAGTTTGTTAAAATTGAATATCTAGAAACGGCTAAAATGCCAGCAGATATTTTTACCAAAAGTTTA